CCTGCTGTGCACCATTCCTAGTGCTAGCCACCTTATTATCTTCCAAAGGCAAGAGCATATTCCATAGAATCTTTCTTCACTTATCCTCATATAAGCAATTTTCCAAAATAACTGACCCTCTCAACTCCTCCTGTGAAGCAAACTGATTCCCATGGGACACTTAATTCCCTGTAATCCCTAAAATGACCAAAATATATTTTTTTCTATCACTTTAGTTGTTTGTTCCCAAACCTTTTATGCCAATTAGACTTGTTATTGTAATTTTATAATTTAATTCAATAATATGCAAACTATGAAAAATATCTGAAATAGTATACAAATATGAAAGTAAAAAAGAGTTTTGTTAGCCTATAAAAAACAAATTGAATGCTTTGCACAGACCCAATAACTGTTAGTCAGAAAAAATTGAGTTAGAATATACAGGGCAAAAATAAATTACCAAAATTAAAAGAATTCTGGAATCAGATTGCTTTGTAAATTTCTTTAGGGTTTTTTTTTTTTCATTTTAAAAATATGAAACTGGAAATTATGGGTAATATATTATGGATATGGCTTATGCAAGAGATAGAATTCTAATGGACCCATAGTCAAAGAAAAGCATTGGTCCTACATCAAAGAATTGCCATATGAATGTGCATTTATATGTTAAATGTTTAAAATTATTTAAAGTATATTCGTAACATTTTTAAGAGCTCAATTTAATCTTTTATTATTATTACCTAAATGGCCCCTTCTTATGCAGTCACCTCGGAGGAACAGGCTTCTATGAAATGTCAGTGGAGGGGAGGTCCTTTGGCTGACAAACCAATGTCACATGAAGTCGGAGCATATGCTCTGAAGTGAGTGAAGAAAAGGCTGCCGATTTAAGAAAAGAGTCCCCCCTTACTGGATAAATAATTCCTGAAATCCCTTCTGTACAGCATGACTATTTTTAGAGAAAACTTAATATGTAAATATCTCTAGGAAATATATCTAGGAAAGCGAATATCTCTAGGAAATATATCTAGGGAAGAGTATATACAAAGCAGTAAGTGATTGAGATCAGATTTTAAAAGTAAGGAAGAGAGGAAGCACTCTGGTATCTGTGGTATCCCAATGGGGGTGTAAAAAGTAAAAATTCAGAATGGGGGGTTGGTTGTCTTTGTTGTGATTGGGCTGAATCCAAACCTTGCTAGATGAAGTAAGAATAGTCAGCATTTATACTGCATTTCATCAAGAGTCAAACCATGAAATATGTGCTTGGAAGACCAAGCAACAAGCAACAGCAGAGGAAACAAGCTCCCACCAGGTGCAAATATCTTCTTCTTCCTTTGACAATGGTTTGGTAGTTCTTGCTTTTCTCTTCCAAGTAAAATATAAACTCCATGGACAGGAAGCACATTCCTCATGGCTAGAAGAGAGCCTGACATATTGATGATACTCCAAATTTTTTATTGAATCATGGCTTGAACTTTTTCTCTGCTTTATTAATTCATCCCCCCCTTTGTCTTTTCCCTACTTTTTGGTTCTGATAGTGGTCCTCAGACCCTCCCATGGTCAATGAAGACAGTCACAATACCAATTAGCACCCTGCATGATATTTAAAATTATTTTTTGGATCATTGAGTGGAATGCATTAGATGAGTAGGTATGAATATACCACCATTATTTTAGATGAGCGTTCCGGGAAGCAGATGCATAGACAAGGATTTGTATACAAATGATTTGGGAGAATGCTCCCAGGAGAAACAGGTGAGGGAGTGGGAGAAGGAAGAAACTAAGCAAAGAGCAATTTCAGGTGTTATCCTAGCCTCAGCATGATCCCATGAACTCTACAGTTGAAAGACTGCAGTGTAATTTCCTCCTCCAGGCAAGGGAAGGCTCTTATACCCTGTCTTCAGTCACTTATTGGCTACCAATCTCCCAGGGGCTATGCAAACTTTAAGGTTCTTCCAGGGAAGTGGTTTCTAGAAGTCCACAGCAATCCTCTGAAGAGTGTTGCTGGGATGAGCTGTTAACAGGTGACATAAAGAGGCTGCAGTGAGGATACACAAGACCAGTAAGAGGGGTCCAGGGGAGCTGGGCAGAGTGTAAGGCATCCCCTAAAGCCCAAAGCTTTGGTGAGCAAAAGACTCCTATGTCACCTTCTGGTCTGGTTGGTAAGGTGGATACATGAGCACACAGTATTCTTTGGAGTTCCTGATGCTGTCACCCGTACCATGTGGAGATCTGCTAGTGACTCACACCAAAATGCTTTCCGGTTTGGATTCTGCATCCATAGGTCTATTTTACTGTAGGTCACCACCATTCTAGGAGAGAATATCCACCTAATTACACTTAATTAATCTACACTTTTCTTAGATTGGGCGAGGAACATTTTTGTTTCCCAAAATAAGTTCCACTTGGTAAGTTGTGAAAATTAAGATGACCCACTGTCAGCTTGAATGTGCACTGAAGTTTGGTTTCCTACTAATTACTGTAATCCATCTCCCAGCTCCCCACAGACAACATAAATGAGAAAAATGATTATTTTTATGTTATTTAAGTTATAAATATTCTCCAGAACCTAATATATAGTTCAAGATAGACTTCTAAAAATGATGTGGTAAGGATGCCAATCTTTTGTTTTAAAGGATGAAACACTTTTTTTTTTTATTGTTTTAAGTGCCTAAAACAAATGGCTTCCCATTGCTCTTAGAGAAACACCAAAATTCTTAATATGACCCCCCCGCATCCTCTCCTACCACATCTAATACTTCTCCCTTGCTAGGTCTACCTGCTGCAGCCACAGCCTCCTTTTAGTAAGGATGCCAATCTTATCATGAGTATATTAACATCTGTTCTACTTTTTCATTAATCCTTTTGCCATTCTTATTACTATTTATAAAAAAGTAACTTTTTTTGAGAAATATAACTCTAGTTTATTTTTCACTTAGATGTCAACAAAGTGGTCATGTAATTATAACCTCTTTACATATAATAATTTGCATATATATGTATATAGAATACATATATATAAGTATATATGTCTGGAGGTCAGCATTATAGCAAACAATCAAAGCACAAACATGCTTTATCAAGAAATAATTGTTTTACAAACACATAGATACAGAGAAAAGAGTAGTGGTTACCGGGGCGAAGGGGTAGGAGTGACGGCAAAATGGATAAAGGGATAAACCGTATGGTGACAAATGGAAACTAAATATTTGGTGGTGAGCCCACTGAGGTGTGTACAAAAGTCAAAATATAATGTTTACACATGAAACTCGTATAATGTTATAAACCAATGTTGCCTCAATAAAAAAAGAAATAATGGTTTTAAATGTTATACTGTACAGTGAACAAAAAAGTCACAAAGCTCATGTACCTTCACTGTTCTGTTATCTTTGTACGATTATAAAATCAAAGTATTTATTCAATTTTTTTCTTAGCAAACTAATATTGTTGCCAAGCAAACTCCGAGAGATTATTCACAAGTTGGGTATGGGAAGGAAATTCTTTTCTTGGGCTGCACTGCGTGGCTTGCAGGATCTTAGTTCCCTGACCAGGGATTGAACCTGTGTCCCCTGCAGTGGAGTCCCAACCACTGGACCACCAGAGAATTCCCAAGGGAGGAACTTCTATAAACTAATATATCTACAGGTAGAAAGAAGGAGGTGTTAGAAGGCAGCAGAAGTATCAACAACTAAGCATACCTGATGAACCGCTGGTCTTGTTGTAATCTTTAATATAAAACAGTGAAACAATGAGTCAGTAAAGTATGATGTATTCATGGCACTGTTTATTCAAATATAATTTTGATAGATATCCTTCAACAGTAGTTAATTATTTTCAATCTGTATTTTGATAAATAGCAGTTATTTGGAAATTACACTAATGGGGAAGTATTTCATTTCTGAAAATAGTAGAAAAATGAAACACTTATCTGTCTGTCTTGAAGTAGCACAAAATTGCTTTGGTGTTAATGTGCACATATGCCACAAATCACTAGAATATTTTAGGTGTATCTCTGATCAGCAGGGTGAAGATGTAACATGTCTTAAGAAAGTTTTCAGTTTGGGTAACATCCAAATTTTTAAATTCAAGCAGAGTGTGAGGGAGCACAGTATCCCCAGGGAGTGTTACCAATAGTAGATACAAGTGTCCACTCTGGTGGACATATAACACACCTCCGCACATTTCAAAACATATACTGTGTGACCACAGAACAACCGAGGTTTCTGTCAGGCCAGGAGGGCTTCTGAATGTGTTTATCAAGGTGGTTAATTAGAATAAAAACACATAAAGAGGACTCATAGACTGGAAGGTACTTACCACCGACATTGGTTTTCTGATGAAGCCTACACCTCAAGGAGGCAAGAAAGTAAATAATAATTCTGCTGCAGGTTCCCCAGTGAAGAAATTCCTCTCTAGCACTCATCATTAGTCTTCCCACTTGATACTATTCACAGCGGTGTGGTTTCTGAGTTAGGGTGATTCCACTAGATTGTGAATTCCAGAACAGCAGGGAATCTGACTTCGCGTTCACTGCTCAGTCTCCAACATTTACGTGAGTGGCTGGAAGATACCCATCTTATGATATGATTAGTTGAATGAACAAATTATTTAGTATCACTCTCCATGAAATAAAATGACAGTGAAATCAACTATTGGGAAATGGACCCAGGAATAAACAGAAATGGTATTCTGTGGAGCAGAAACAGAGAAGAAAGCCAGGAGCAGAGGATGATCATGCTGAAGCATGATGAGAGCCGTAAGAACCGACTACATACAAAACCAGCCTGCAGACCTGGAGTTTGCGGATTCTTAGTTTATTGGTCTCCTAGGAGTCAGCTTCTCTGATATGCAGTAAATGAAATAGGAAAAATGTAAATTTGTCTCCCGAGTTGCATGTATTGTGGTAGCACTTAATCCCTGAAAAGTTACACAGAACTCAAAATAAGCAATTGCAGAAGAAACACTGGAACTGCAATAGGGGGATAATACCGTTGTTAAACAGCGTATCTCTAATGTTCCTACAGGTAACTTAGGATGTGTTCTGGGGAAGGGGAACACTCTGGCTCCCTCTGGAGGAACAGCTCTCAACCTTCTCTTCATAACCCATGTGACAGATGACACTCACCGGCAGGACACACTCTCAAAGGTATGTCCATGGTTATTCATAGTATTATACCATTTATAACTGAATCTGATGCACTGAAAATTCATGTTCACATTTTAGAAAGTGACCTTATTATGTGGATAATTTTGAATTTAAAACAGTAAATCACTGGGAATTGTGTTTCCAGCTATAGTGGAGTGTCTGTTACTAGACTCACCTTCTTACAGTAAATTACTGTAAGATTGAACAAAATATGTAAGACAACTGTGTCTAGAACTGAACAACAGGAGAGGGAGACCGTGATCCTTGAGAAAAAACAAACACATGAGGCTTGTCCCACATTGTCTCACACTTTCTACCACATTAAGGAGGTAGAAGCCAAGAAGAGTAGTGAAGAAACTGAATTGAGAGTGCAGACACGGGAGATAGGGGTTGCTGAAACATCTGGAATTTGTGAAGGATGTTACCAGAGAACAGGAAGCCAGATGTGGAGGTAAGGGAGGAGGACAAAAGTCTGTGTGAGCCTTCAGTGCAGTTCATCAAGGGCTGAGATGTGCATTCACAAAGCAAGATCTGTAAGGCTAAGCCAAGAATCATTGCTTTGGGTCAAAGAGCTAAACAGAAGTACCAAAGATTGCAGAGGACTGTAAGATATTAGAGTTCTGTCCCAGTCAGAGTGGAGAGACCACATAAAGACCAGCCTTAGGAGTAAAGACCATACACTAAAATAAGAACTGCCCTTTAGACTAAAGAACACATTCTAAAGTGAGGGATACACCCTAGGACTAGGAGCAAAACAAACAGCCTCACTCTCACAACAGAAGGAAACTCAGTTCTACAGAAGAGCATAGGAAAAGGTGAAAATGTAGATAAATAAAAGACTACCTTTTTATTCCTTCTATTAATTTTATTTATGTAAAATATTAACTATAGGAAGACTATAATAAATTAGGATGCATAAAAAGTTAATAAATGAATTGATATGGAAGGTTAGAATATTCATTTAACATAAATCAGAAAAAGAGAAAGAGAGGAACAAAAGCCAGATGGGACTATGAGAACATAAATATCAAAATAGTAGACATAAACACAACTAGATCAAAAATTATGATACATGTATATGGACTGAACACTCCAATTATAAGATTGGATGAAAAAGAAAACCCAACTCTTTGCTGGCTACAAAAGATTCGTTTTAATGATAAAGACACAGAGAAGAAGAAAGTAAGAGAATGGAAAAAAGATTTACCATGCAAATAGTACATATAAAAGCAACGGGGAGTGTGTTACTATCAGACAAAGTAATCTTCAAGACTAGAAGTATCAGCAGAAATGAGGAAGACTAATTCATAATGATAAAACAGCTAATTAATCAAGAACACATAATAGTTGTAAATGTATATCTACATGATAACAAAGTTTCAAAATACAAAAACTGGCAGAACTAATGGGAAAAATACATAGATCCATAATTGTAACTGGAGATTATAATACCCTTCTCTCAGTAGTTAAGAAATAAAAATATAGAAGATTTGAACAACATATAACTAACATGACCTAATTGAAATTTATAAACAATAGATCCAACAACTGCAGAAGAGACCTTATTTTCAAGTACATGTGGAAGAATCTTTAAGAGGGATAATATGCTGGGTCATAAACAGAAGTCTCAATGCCTTCTAAAAAATGGAAATTATAGAGCATATATTCTCTGAGCACAACTGAATTCTTAGAAGTAAGACAAAAATATATATGAAAAATCCTCAAATATTTGGAAATTGAACAACATTCTTCTGCATAAACCATGGATCAAAGAAGAATCATAAGGAAATAAAGAATTTCAAACTGAATGTTAGGGTGTTAGGGAAAATTAAATATGTCAATATCGGTTGAGTGCTGTTAAAGCAATTCTTAAAGGAAGATGTATAGCTTTACATGCTATGCTATACATTAAAAAGGAAAAAATGGCTTAAAATGAATGGTTTAATCTCCCAACTTAATAAGCTTGTAAGAGAAGAGTAAACTAAAACCAAAGTAAGTAAATGAGAAGAAAAAAGCAAAGATAAAGTCAGAAAATAATGAAATTAAAAACAAAAAACTAAAGTAAAAAGTTGCTTTTTAAAAAATATAAACTCTAGCAAGAATAATCAAGAATAAAAACATTAAAAAAATCTTACCAATTACCAAAATTATCAGAATTAGGAATGAAAGATAGGATATCACTACAGAGTCTATAGATATTGCAAGGAATATTATACACAAATTTATCCAAATAAATTCAACAAATTTAAATGACATACTCAAATATCTTTAAAAACACAACTTACTAATACTTAAACGTGATGAAATATAAAATCTAAACTGTCCGATATTTGTTGAAATAATTAAATTTTGAAATCAAAATCTTCTAGAAAGAAAATCCATCCCGGAGAGTTTCATTGATTAATTTTATCATATATTTAAGGAACATATAAACCAACCTCATGTACAATATATCAGAAAATAAGAGGAGAGGGGAAGACTTCCCAATACATTTTGTGAAGCCAGCCTAACCCTGATGCCAAAATCTGACATCAATATTGAAAGAAAGGAAGACACCAGTGACTCTGATGAATGTAGAACCAAAACTTAGCAAAATAAGTTAGTTAATAAATTAAATATAGCAATACATTATTAAGAAGGTTTATCTCAGGAATGCTACTTTTGTTGTTTTTCAAAATTGAATCAGTGAGATCCACAACATTGACAAAATTATAAAGAAAAAGGATTGTGTCAACAATAAAAAGCATTTGGCAAAATCCAATATTCAATCATTTTAAAGCTCTTGGCAGAGTAGAAATAGATTTTATTTTTTTCAATCTTATTAATAACAATTTTAAAAATTCTATAACTAGCATAATACTTATTTGTGAAATTTTTATACTTCTCTCTTAAGACTGTGAACAAGCAAGTACGTACACTCTCTCCACTTCTATTCAACATTTTACTGAACGTTCTAGCCAATGCAATAAAGTAAGGAAAAAATGGCATAATAATTAAATGGAAGATAGGAGGTAAACTGTCTTTATTTGTGGACAAAAAGATTTTGTACATAGATTGCGAAACTACAAAAAAATTACTACAAATAATAAGTTATAATTTAGCATTGTAACAGTATAAAGGGTTAATATACAAAAGTTGTATTTTTGTATGTTTTGTGTATTAGTATATAAAATCTTTGTGTTGCTAATATTACCAAGCAATTGGAAAAACTATAAAAAATATTCCATTTTAGTAACATCAAAAAACAAAAAATTCTTAAAATCAATTTAATGAAAGATGTGTAAGACTTCTTAACTAAAAACCGCAAATTATTGCTGAGAGAAATTAATGAAAATGAAAAATTAATAATCAGTAATGAAAAATTCATGAAATGGAGAGAAACGCTATTTTTATACATTATGAAAATTCAACAGTATTAAAATACCTTATTTTCCTCAAGTCAATCTGTAGACTTAATGCAGTCCCAATTAAAAGCTCATCAAATATTTTGTATAAATTGACCACATGATTTTAAAATTTGTAGGAAAACAGAACTCTACAATAGTGAATCTTTAAAAAATATAAATTTGGAGGATTAAAACATGAGACTTTTAAGAATTTAACAGAAAATATGGGAGCATCTATTAAAGCATATTAGGGGAGGAAAAGATTACTTTTGACCCAGAAAGTACCAACAACAAAGATAATTAATTGGACTTTATCAAAATTAAAAACTTCTGTTGCCAAAAAACCTATTAGGAAAATATAAGAGCAAGACATAAACTGAAAAAAAATTATTTTACATATATCCGACAAAGGTTCTGTATCCACATATGTTTTGGTGAAAGCCTGCTTTCTGTTCTAAGGTTTGTTGGATTTGCTGGTGAACTAACCATTCGTCTCACACAAATAAACAGCTTTAATCATTCTTTAATGAAAGGTGATTTAACTTAATTTTAATATACAAACATTAGAAGGAAAAGAATATTAGAAAAACGTAACAGGGTATATATACATCACCGAATTGGGCTGACACCTACTTCCAGATGCAAACAGCAGCTGTGAAGTCCCGAGTAACAGCAATCTGGAGCTAAAATTGGGAAGAGTCCCGGGCGGTGCGTCCAACCCACAGGTGAGACTTCAGATTGGAGTTCTGGGGGCTTCCGTTTATAATTCCAGGCCACAAACTGATGCTATCAGTTTGCTCGCAAAAATGCAGCTCTGGTTCAATTATAACAATGGTGTTAATTTCATCATGTGAGTCACAAGATTTTCCAGACCCCGGGGAGCCGGCTAGGTCCCCTGGGCTCAAGAAATTCCAAGACCCACTCCCTTTCTTATCGTAAGCGCCATTTGACTTGCTAGCAGCAATTGTTAGGTGTGCAAGCAGGTGTGCAGTCCAGGCAAAGTCACACGTCGGTCAGAGGCCTGCTTCTGCCTCTGAAGCCTGAGCGAGACTACTTTATTAATTTTCCCATCAACATGCAAATCAACAATTAAAAGTCAAACACCCGATAAAACGTGGACAAAACACTTACAGAGACACCTCACAAGAGAAGAGGTAGCCATAGCCAATAAAGGCATTAAATGATTCTTCACATTATTAGTCATCTGGAAAACACAAATTAAAGCAACAGAACATGAGATACCATATCACACTCAGTAGAATGGCTACTACTACTAACTGACAATACCAACTATTGGCAAGGATGTAGAGCAACTAAGATTTTCACCTGTGTTGATGAGAGCGTAAAAACAATTACTATGGACAGATATCTGGCAGCTTTGTTAATGGCATTAAACACGTACTTACCCTATTACTCAGAAATCCCACTCCTAGGTATTTATATGAGAGAAATGAAAACATAATGTCCACAAAAATACTCGATAAATAATGTTCATTGAAGCTTAATTCATAGTTGCCCCAAATTGAAAACAACCCAATGTTCCTCTACAAGAGAATTAGTAAACAAAATGAATTATATTCATATAGTGGAATACTATTCAGCAATAAAAACGAATAAACTGAAACGCTCAATGTGGATAAACCTCAAAATTTTTACATTGAAGAGTTAAAGTTATGTATCAAAGATCACTGTGCTTTTATACAGTTCGGGTTCCATTCTGAAAGCATGTTTGTAAGTCCGATTTGTTCCTAAGTCCAACAAGGTTAGCCTAGGTACCCAACTAACACAATCGGCTCTATAGTACTGTAATAGGTTTATAATACTTTTCACGCACATAATACATAAAAAATAAACACAAAAAAATAAAACATTTTTAATCTTACAGCACAGTACCTTGAAAAGTGCAGTAGTGCAGTACAACAGCTGGCATCCAGGGACTGGCATCGAGGAAACAGGCGAGAAGAGTTACTGACTGGAGGAGGGAGAGGAGTGGGAGATGGTAGAGCTGAAGGATCGTCAGCGATAGGAGACGGAGGGCAAGCTGCAGTTTCCCTCACACCTGAGGTTGATGGCACAGGTTCTGGTTCCTTGCTGGATTCAATTCTATCTACCTTCTTAAAAAAATGATCCAGTGATGTCTGGGTAGTAGTTTTTTTTTTCCCCCATCGTAGATGACACGGTTAGCACTGGATTGCATTCTGAATGGCTGCTGCAACCTTCCTGTACCATTCTACGTTCGAGTCCTGTGCCTCAGAAACTAACAGTGCTTCCTCAAATAAAGAAAATCCCCTTGCCATTTCCTGCGTCGTGAATCTCTTTGGTTCTTCAGTTACTTCTTCTTCCTCTTGTCTCTCTTCGTCCTTTCTCTGGGCCTCCAGTTCCATCAGGTCTTCATTAGTAAGCTCCACATTCACATCTTTGAAATTTCACAACTTGAAAGTTCCTATGTAGGGGACTTACTGTACAGTTCAAGAACAGGCAAATCGATCTATGGTGTTAGAAATGAGAACTGAAGTCATGTTAGCATCATGGAAGCATAAAATGTCCCTAATTTTATCCCCACCGCCAAGAATTCAGCATCCATCCTCAGACAAAAGTGCTATTGAGGGAGCTGTGGGATCCAGCCCCAAATGCCAAGGGACCCAGGAGGAGTCTCATGTGTGTGATAGGCAGACAGACCTCCCAGCAATGGACACTGCCATAGCCCATGAACTAGTTCCAGCCCCTCATGGCCATGGGCCAGGATCCCCTGGAAAACATTGTCTTAGGTAATCACCATAGATGAAAGAGGCTTTGTGGAAGTCCAGGTTTTCAGAGGAGAATTTGCAACACTCTTCAAAAAATTACAAATTTGGACATGTTGGAGTGGAAGGCAGTTATGAAGCTTAGAGGAGGTGACTGCTACTTTAAAAATGAAGAGAGCAACACAAAACTTCAAGGAACATGAAAAAAATCAAGATAGCATGATACCATCAAAGGATCACAATAATCTCCCAGTAACCAAACCCAAAGACAGGCAGATCTGCCCTTTCCCCGATAAAGAATTTTAAGAAGTTGTTTTAATGAAACTCAGTGAGCTACCAGAAAACAAGAATTCAAGAAATCAGGAAAACAATACACAAACCAAATGAATTTAACAAAGAGACAGAATTTTAAAAAAGAGAACCAAACAGAAATTCTGGAACTAAAAAATACTATGAATACAATGAAAAATGTAATAGAGAGCATCACCAGTAGAATGGATCAAGCAGAAGACAGAATCTGTGCATTAGAAGACAGGAACTTTGAAATTTTCCATTCAGAGGAGAACACGTTTTTTAAAATGAAAAAAGAGTGAAGAAAACCAATGCAACATACGGGATACTATCCCAAGAGCCAATCTGTGAATAATTAGAGTTCCAAAAGGAGAAGGTTGGGAGAGGGGACAGAAATATAACTTAAAGAAATAATGATAGAAATAATGGCAAATCTGGGGAGAGATTTGGATATCCAAATTTATGAAGCTCATAGGTCACCAAACAAAATCACTTTATTAATTTTCCCATCCTCTCCAAGATACATTATCATAGATATAATGTTATATGATATATGTTATATGTTATATATAACTGTCAAAAATCAAAGACAAAGAGAGAATCAAAAATCTTAAAATCTGTAAGAGAAAAAAAGCTTGTAACTTACAAAGGAACCCCCCTCCCCATAAGGCTATCAGCAGATTTCTTAGCCAAAGCTTTGCAGGTCAGGAAAGAAAGGGATGATATATTCACAGCATTGAAAGAAAAAAATTGTCAACCAAGAACACTTAATCTGACAAAACTGTCCTTCAGAAATGGAGAGATAAAGACTTTCCCAGACAAATAGAAGCTGAGGGAATTCATCAGTGCTAGACGTGCCTTACAAGAAACAGACAAATAAAAGCTGAGGGAAGTAAAAGCTGAGGGAATTCATCAGTGCTAGACATGCCTTGCAAGAAACACTGAAAGTTCTTCCAGCTGAAATGAAAGGATGCTAATTTGCAACAGGAAATCATGAAAATATACAACACACTAGTAATGTAAGTATATAGTCAAATTCAGAATACCCTGATACTGTAATATGGTGAAGTGTTAACCACTTAACTCTAGTATAAAAGCTAAAAAAACAAGTGTATTAAAAATCACTATGGCTACAATAATTTATTGATGAAGACACCATATTAAAAGAGGTAAATGGTGAAATCAAACACATGGCGGGGTGGGGTCAAAGGATAGAGTTATTGTATGTGATCAAAGTTAAATTGTTACAAGTGTGAAATAGAGTATTTTATCTGGAGATGTTTTATGTAAACAGCCTGGTAACTACAAAGCAAAAACCTACAGTAGATACACAAAGGAAATGAAAATAGGCTCTTAAAAATATAGCTGCAGTCTCACGTTCATTGCAGCATTATTCAGAATAGCCAAGGTATGGAAACAACCTAAGCGCCCATCAGTAGATGAATGGATAAAGAAGATGCGGCACACACACATAAACACACACACACTGTAATATTATTAAGCCATGAGAAAGAAGGAAATCCTTCCATTTTTGGCAACATGGATGGACCTTGGTGGCATTAGGCTTAGTGAAATAAGTCAGGCAGAGAAAGACAAATGATGGATGATATCACTTATGTGTAGAATCTTAAAAAAACAAATAATAGAAACAAAGTAGAATGGTAGTTACCAGAGGTTGGGGGATGGGGGAACTGGGGAGATGCTGTTCAAAGAGTGCAAACTTCCAGTTACAAGTTGAATAAGTTTGGGGAATCTAATGTAAAGTATATGGGGATTATAGTTAATAATACTGTATTATATACTTGAAAGTTGCTAAGAGAGTAGATCTTAAACATCTGTATCACAAAAAGAAATGCTAATTATATGATATGATGGAGGCATTAGCTAACACCGTGGTGATAATCATTTTGCAATATACAAGTGTATCAAATCAACACGTTGTACACTTCACACTTAATGTTATATGTAAATTATATCTCAGTGATGGTGGGGAAAAAATCAGAACAGAGATTGTCTGTGGGAGTTGTGGATTGACCAAATATAGGTAAGAGGCAGTTTTCTGGGGTGGTGGAAATATACTGTTGATTCGCGTGGTAGTCAAGTGGGTATGCATTTGTGAAATCTCAAAAAGTGTGCATTTCACTGTTTATAAACTTTACCTTAATAAGTAAAAATAGCATGTCTTTTGCAAACTTTGGTCTTTCTACCATTATCAGTAACAAATTACTTAGAAAACTTTTCAGCTCACTACATACCAGAGTTGAGAATTGCTGTTCTCAGGTGTATACCAGAAAGCCATGCTGAGAGTTATTCAGAAGTAATTTGGAGACCCTAATATCTAAGAGGTGTAGGTAATGAGAAGCACTGAGTGAACAATTGTGAAAAGTTAGGGTAGAAATGGCTGTCATTGCCCACAATATAAGGAGTTGTAAGCTGCCACCTACAGAAGCCACTATTCATTCATTCATTTATTCAATCAAATATTTAATTAGTGTCTAGTATGAATTAGTACTGTCCTAGGTCCTGGAGATCCAGTGGTAAACTCTCTAACATCATGGGACTTATATTGTAGTGGGAGAGAACGATATCTATCAAATAGTCATAGCAACATATGAACTAATTAGTACTAAAAGTACTAATACGAAAAGATCAATGAAGTACACAGGGCTATGAGAGCTTTATAACAATAATAGAAACTCCTTATATTTATTTCCTACAACCCTACAAAGTATAATTGTAATAGTTATCATTTCCATTGAATAGCTGAAGAACTTGAGGCAATGGAAGGATTAGTAACTTGCGGAAGGTCACAGAGCTGGCCACTGGCCAAGTCAGTTTTCATCTAGATTCTGTGTCCTGTCTCTAGATTCTGTGTTCTTAGCTACAGTGATATAGTGTATATCCACCTGGTCTGGGTGTTCAGGAAAATGTCCCTGAAAAAAAAAGATTAAAAAACATTTAAGCTGAGGTCTGAGAGATGGGTAGGTATTACGTACCTGCGAGCAGGGAGAGCACAGTGTGAGCAAATCCCCTGATATGGTTGGGAACACAGCATAGTTGATGGATGAGAAAGTTGTGCATATCTTTTTTTTTTTTTAATTTATTTATTTACTTTTGGCTGTGTTGGGTCTTCATTGCTGCACGCGGGCTTTCTCTGGTTGAGGTGAGCGGGGGCTACTCTTCGTTGCCGTGCACGGGCTTCTCATTGTGGTGGCTTCTCTTGTTGCGGAGCATGGGCTCTAGGCGTGGTCTCAGTAGTTGTGGCTCGCGGGCTCTGGAGCGCAGGCTCAGTAGCTGTGGTGCACGGGCTTAGTTGCTCCGCGGTATGCGGGATCTTCCCAGACCAGGGCTCGAACCCACGTCCCCTGCAGTGGCAGGCGGATTCTTAACCATTGTGTCACCAGGGAAATCCGTGCATATCTATTTATTCTACAAAAATTAGAGAAGCTTCTAAGAATGACTGAACAAGTCAGAAAAGAGAGATAATGTTGACTTTGAAGCTTCATTAGTCATTATACCCTTCCTAAATTAAAAAAGTCAAAATTAAGAATTAAACTATATTCCCAACATCAGCTGAATCTCTTTCTTGTTCTGTCCTCAGTGGGGGTAAAGAATGGGCCACCCTTCATGATTCTGAGACCCTTTCAAACTTAGATACCAGTATTGTACACTGATGTTTAAGCACTGTGATTGCGGTAGCAGAGAAACCTTTAGCTGCAATTCTTTTTTCTAATCCAGCTGAGGAAAGTTCTTTTCCCGACAACTGTAGCCCATTGTTCCACAAAGACTCTTCTCTAAGAAACATGAAGCAGTTAATTCACCGTGCCAAACACAGCAAGAAGATGATACTTTTTGTGAGTATCAAATCAGTCCAATTTCATTTAGACTTAAATGATTTTTCTGGCCCTTCTTCATGTAGATACCTCCGCAGTCAATTAGCATTGTCACTTTTAATCTTCT